TTCTTCCACTGTGGCTGGCCAAAAGACTACACCCTGTTGGCATAGTGATGTGTTGAGAGCAGTCTCTGACTCTTTAACTGCTAGGCTTAACCATCCACCACGACTATTCATTACACTGCAGACCCGTATAAAACCTCCAGCTGTTCTAAAAAACAACAGCTCATCAGCAAAAGCTGGCAGGAGTGCCTCAGGCAAATGCTTTGCTTTTGTGGTAGCTCCTTGTTGACTAAGGCACCCCAAGGCCCCTTTCTGACCATCAGGGCTCACAGAAGGTTTGGCCACAGCTGAAAGAGAGGTGGTTTTCTTCTCCGCGCTCCGAATTTTCACAACATTGACATTGCTCTCAAACCTCAACGCTCGTAAGTGACAGGCTGCCTGCGTGGATGCAGATCCTTCAGAAGAGATGGCTGGAGACAGGGAAGGTGTCTGTTGCCATTGCTGCTGCTAGGATTATCAAGCAAATGTAGCTAAACTCCCAGATTGAACTGGTTTTGCCGTTACTGTATTAATGCTGGTTTGCATGTTTATTACCTTGCCCATTTCAAACCTCACTGAGCTGAATCTTAATAAACAGATATATTCTGAATGGATTTTGTTATTGTTGCTTTTTTTTTTTCCCCTTCTGGCCATTAAGACTCATTATGTGGAGTAATCAGCTGGTTTGCTTTGTTTCCCATCTGTTCATGCAGTACTTGGGTTCTGGGATTTTTCCCAGGGTGTGAGATAATACTGCAGATGGGAGTGCAGTTTCCACTGTTTTCATTTTGCCCCGGTGGGACTTTGTGTGGCCTTTGTGGAAAAATGACAATTGCAATGATTTTGACTAAGGATTTTTTATATTATAGAAACTTGTCAGATCCACTGTTTTCAAGATCATGTTGCTAACTAGAGTCAGTGGCAGATTTTTTCTAACAGGATTTTCAATTCTTTCCCATCTACAATACCTCCATTCTCTGAAGTATACAAGGACTCTTTTCTGAGAACAAATCTTGTGCGATTTCAAGTCACAGGGAAAATTCACCCCTGCTTCTCACTGGGGAGAAGAAAATGTACTGGTCCTGTTGCTGTTAAGGGGAACAGAAAGTGGAACCTAATGAGACTTTAAAAGTCAATTCTAATCTCCTGTGACTGCCAGTAACCACTTCATATCAGACCTTTCACTTGTGTATCAGTTAGGTTGTCATACTGACAAGCTGTTTCAGCAACTCACTCTTCTGATGACTCTAGCAAACCTACTTCTCTTATTTGTAACCAAGGTATGCTTTGGTTGTCTTGCACCTATTTGTTCTCATGTGTAAGTAATCCATTGTCTCAAATGCCTGTTCTGTCTCTCCATTTTTTTTTAACCTTCCTATGTTTGCAGAGAACAGTCATATCCCTTTCAACCCTTGCTCTGCAAGGCTGAACAAACCACTGTCTTCAATAGCCTCTTGCTGGAAAAATGTGCTCTCTGCTCTCCTCACTCTCCTTGCAACTCTCAGGTGAACTTGTTTTTATTGACATGCATCTGCCCTGGTCACAGAAGACAAAGCAAGGCTGTCAGTCCTTAGGCAAACATATGGGCATATACCTGCTACAGCTTCACTCCCTCCCACTGCTGCTTGGTATCACATTTTCTCCTGGTCTGCATTTTGAAGCTTATTTTAGTTTTCAGGTGATGACTTCAGTTTGATTTCAGTTACATTTTGGAAACTCCCTCTTTCTTCCCCTCTACATTAGTTTTATTACATAGAATAAGTGGCTACAAAAGTATTTTGATCAGTTAATTCTATTCCATTTCCTGGCATTTTTCTTCCAGATCTGTATTTCCTATTTTGACTTCTCAGCATCTCTACTACTAAAGTTGCTAGACACTGTGTTTGGAGTAAGTTGTGCTTAGGATAAGCTTCTCCCTATGTGTAGGATGGCAGTTTCTGAGAGAGGCCACAAATTTCTGACTCAGAATTGCTGTTATTTGTACTACATTTCACAGGGACATTTCTCTGTGGTCACTGTGCAAGACTCCAAGATATTCTAGCAGCATTGAGCTCCAAGATTAAGAAAGCTTTAACGCAGCACTGGTCCAATGACGTCTCCAGTGAGGACAGACTTGTACAGCTTTACAGCAAGTGGCCACAGAGCCAGGAGGGGCAACCTGCAGCCCTGCTCTTGTAACGCAGCAGTATGGTCCTCTGGGAGCAGGGATAACAACCACTGGTCCCCCAGCCCCTGGAGTAAATCCACCTCTCATAAGTACTGCCTTCCCCTGCAGCTAATTACTGGGCTGATAAACCTGCAGGGCTATCTGGGAAGTCAAAGAGGAGAAGACCCATAATTGCTTAGCAAAGCTTTTCATCCTTAAATCACAGAAACCCAAGAAAGCTCAGTCTTCATTTCACTTTCGGAGGAATGTATGTGCTGAAGAAAGAATCAGCCACATTTTTTGTTAAACCCAACATTTCAGCATACAAGCGCTTAAAAAATTACCATGTTTACTAAGGACTTTGAAGATTTTTCTGTTGTGAGTGTAGGAGGAGGGGAAAAATTTTTAATGGAATTACAGAATTGCTTTAATGAAGGAAGAAAACTATATGGCAGTTGTGAGGTGCTGGAGCGTGTCCAAAGAAGAGCAATGAAGCTGGTGAAGGCTCTAGACAATAGGTCCTATAAGAAGAAGCTGAGGAAACTGGGGTTGTTTAGTCTTGAGAAAAGGGGGCTCAGGGGAACCTTGTCACTCTCTACAACTACCCAAGAGGAGGTTGTAATGAAGTGGACAAGAGGAAATGGCCTCAAGAAGTGGTTTATGTTGAATATTAGGAAAAATTTTTTCATTGAAAGGATTGTCAAGCATTGAAACGGGCTCCCCAGGGAAGTGGTGGAGTCACCATCCCTGGAGGTATTTAAAAGGCATATAAATGTGATGCTTAGATGTGGTGGACCTGGCATTGCTAGGTTAATGGTTGGACTTGATGATCTTTAAGGTCTTTTCCAACCTAAACGATTCTATGATTTTTTGATCACCCATGCCTAGTGTAAACCTCCCTGGATTACCCAGGAATTTCAAACGTGGCCTGAGACTCTTGCTGTGTTAGAAAAGTATGAACCTAAAGAGGCAAGGAGGGGGATCTATAAAGACAGGTAGTGCTGGTAGAATTCGGTAGACCTTTTAATAGGCTTTAGATATAAATCTGACCTGATAAATCTAATAAAGCACACGCTTGTACTTCCTAAGCATAAGCTTTTACCTCAAGTTAGGCCAAAACATAATTTCAGTGGAAGAAAAATCAAAGCAAATACTCACAGGAGAAAATCTGTCAAAGCGGTGAACTTTTCACCTCTAACAGCTAGTAATGACCAGAGGGTACAAGATCAGATGGTTCACTTAACTGCCGAGTAACAAAATTAGGCTAAAACTTAGATCTAGTCTGCCCAGAGGCAACATGACAAATTAGATTCATCCACTTGCCATATTTGTATTAATGCACTTTTGTATTAGTGAACAGATTATAAAAGAAGGCTTTGCCTTGAGGCAAGGTTTTCTGGCACTGAACTCATTTTCAAGCTGAGGTTTTCCCTTGAGGGCACGATAAGACCCCCACTCCTTGCAGCTGCGGATCTGATCCTCAGCAAAGATTTACCTGTGAACAGCTCTTAACACTTTGGATTTCTTTTTATAAAACTACATAAATTGTACAGTTTTGATATATGTAATATTGTAATGGAATATTTCATTGATATATTTCTAAAATAATTCATTGTGTTCCATTACTAATATTTTTTTAAAACCTAAACAACAAAATGTTGTTTTAAAATCTGCTCTCTGGGACAGGCTCTGTAAACTCATCCTGGCTCCCAGTCTTGGCTGGTAGTCAGTAGTGTGAACTACTGACTATGCAGTTGGCCACCTCTCTTCATCCTGTGGCTGCCACCCTCCAAAGGGTCACAGCCCTGAAGTCTTGTGGCCCTGTGAGTCGTGGGACCTACAGCACTTAATGTCAGTGGTACATGTGAGCGTTTGCAGCACGAGGCTTTGCTTTGCAGATGCAGCAGCATGGCATCCCTCTGACCTAGGAGCGAGCTGTGAATCAAGAATGCCTTTCTTTTTCCTCTGAAGATGAAAGACTTCTAAAATTAATTGCATGACATTATGGCTTGTCTGTGTTGTCAGCTTTGATTTTGCTGTGACAAAATGATGGCCGCTCCCTGTCACACAGAGTGACGCTGTGGCTGTGAGCACCGCACTCATCAAGTGGCAGCAGCGAGCGGAAGCATCACTGAGATCTGCATGGAAAGCAGTTATGAGGAGTGTGTGGTGGAGGGCGAGGTGAGTGCAGATGTTACACATCTGTAGGGCACCCGCCATTGCCTGCTGCATCTGGTGTTGGCTATGCTGTACCATCCTCAAAACTAAGCCAAGGCTCTTCCCCTGCTACCAGGGGAAAATACTGAGGGTGACACTCTCCAGGGGTGTAATTTTAAGCGTTCAGAGCTGAATGCGCAACCTCTAAATCTAAAATCAGAAATCTTGAAAGCAGCTCCGCTGCCGTAGCAGGGCTGGATGGAAAAAAAGGGAAGCAGAAGCAGAGGGAGGAGATTAACCCATTTTCCCTTTAGAGGGCAGTGCTGTTCGTCGTACAAAACCTGCACTTCCCAGAAGGTAACACCCTTCTTGTTAACGACTAGGGTGAGGAGCGGCAAAGGAGCAGAGAGCAATAGGGACCAGCACTGAAGGGGTGCTGCTGGCTGCACTACGCCGTACACAAGAGCTCTGATATACTTTCTACAATACTCTGTGCTGGGGCTCATTAATTTCCCCTTGTTTTCATGCACAGTAATCAGACAAGTAATTACGGTTCCATGGAGAGGCTTCCTTTCCCCACCACACCATGAGAGCAGTCCAGGGTGAAGTGCTCCTTACCGTCAGCATTTGCCAAATTACTGCCTCTCTCTGGGCCAGATGAGCCCTTCCTACTAGATTTATTCGAAACCTGTTCAGAGATGACTTCAAAGGCAGTACTAACCTTTTCATGGGTTTGGGCGAGGCCTCCCGCTCCAAGTTGGAGGATGCATGCTTCACGTGCATGGCGTTGTAGGAGGTGTGAGTGTACTCGTTTTCATCACTGTAGTCGGGACCAAGTAGCGTTCGAGCCCATGTGCCCATGTCGTATGGAGGAAGAGTCCCCCCAAATTCAGAGGGCAGGCATTCAGGGTGTATTAGCTGGTGAAGACTATTCAGGTTGTTACCATGAAGAAAGATCTTTAATAAACAAAAAGAGAATTCAAAGTCATCACCAATTTCTTACTTTAAGTACAGCAATAACAGCACTAATGAGGTGTGGAGCGTCATTAGTTGACACTGCAGTTTCATGTGGGAATTTCTGAAGTGCTCTGAGCTGGCTTGGAGGGATGGGAGGAGGGTACTGGCTTTGGGGTGTGCAGCTGAAGAGTTAGGCTGGCACTATAAACACTTCTGAAACCCCTGATTCGTTTGCTTTTTAACACTTTCACTTTCTTAAGTACCAGATCAGGGATATGGAAGTCAGGAATAATGGCTGATTATTGCTGCCATAAGAGGATAAAGGTTTGAATGAAGAGCAGTGAGGAGAAAAGGGCGAGTGGAGCTTGCTGAGAGAATAAGTGAAGAGTAGGTCCTCAGCATGTGAAAGGGAAACTCAGCCTGGCACCCCAGGACTTACGTTTCCCAGGGGGTACCAAGTTGTGCCACCACTTTGTCCAGCCTTGGCGACATCTGGCTCTCTAATCCTGCTTTCAGGCTGATACTACCCTTGTCCTGCCTGGTCAGGCACATGCCAGGGTGGGCTCTGGGGCCTCCTGAGGCATGATCCAGTGGTTGTTTGATAGACTGCAGAGGACAAACGTGTAAGATCACAGTTCATATCAGGTTCAGTGAGGAAGACTTGCCTCTTGTGCAGTATGAACAAATGGCCTTCAGGTATGGGCGTTTTTTGTGGAAGTGAGTTTCCACTGTGTAAAAGCAATCAACTTGCTGAAGGAATGAAACAGGAACATTTTACTCCCACAAAAATAGTTGAGCTGAAGTTTCCCTTACTACAGGTGACCTCAGCCAGACCTAGTAGTCCCTCCACATTACCAATTCTTTATCCTTGAGAACCTCCCATTAAAATGTACCTTAACTTTGTTAGTCCTTGCCTGTTGTTGATTCAATCCACTTCATTGCAAACTCTCAGTTTTAAAACCAGCAGCAATTCTCTGTGGCCATATGAAAAATGTAGAGGGAAAAAGAAGGAAGAAAAGAAAGCAGGCAGCTACGCAGCTGCTCTGGCTGTGCAGCTTCCTATTCCCCCCGGCCACATCTAATTACCCTTTTCCTGGTCTTGTCTTTGAGGAATGGTTTGATTAGCGTATACAGGGCATGGATGTACCAGGGCTGGTTTACAAAATGGACTCCTCCAAAACGAGCAGGAAAGCTGTCCTACAGAAAAGAGAGAAAAGGAAGGCAGTTAATGGATGCAGTGCTTTAGTCCAACAGTCAATAGGATGAAAGTCAGGGGAAGAAGTCTGCCTGTATCCGTCTGCAAACGGGTGCTGGGCTTGCTGGGAGGGGGCAGGAGAGAGATGGCAAAGAGGAAAAACGCCTGGAAATGTTTGCATCAGGTTCCTCTGTTAGCAGGCGCAGTCCCTTCTCCCCTCCACACACTAATGCTTCTGTTGCCGATGATTTAAAGTAGGCTCTCCAGCCATTCAGCCGAACATTCTTTAACTCCATCAGGGCATCTGACTTGGCCGGGATGGGAAGCGAGCCGGGGTTGATGAGCGCTGCTCCCTCGAGGGGAAGCTTTCTAATTTCTCATTGTGCAGCGAGAGGCAGCCACCCTGGTTCCCACGCACATCGCTGCGCACAGCTCACCTTTTCACCCTTCGGCCTCCCTGCCTCCCCCCCTGCTAAAATCATCATTACAATGGCTGACCTTTCGGGGTGAGCAAGCAGCGTATTAGCAGGAGGAGGATGGGTGGGAAACGCTGATAAGTGAAGGTGTAGGGAGAGCTCACCATGACGGCACCATGGAAACTGCCGGAGCCCCGCGCTGGCTCCCGGGCTGTGCACAAACCCCCTCGCCATTAGCATGCAGGTAGCATCCCAACAGGGAGGTGTTGGCAACCACATCCTGCTCCGCTCAGCCAGCTTAATAAAAGAGGAGGCTGCTGGCATGTCTTTAAAGGTTATTGTATATTCTGATGGGCCTTTCGCACCTACGCTCTCCTCTAACAAATGTCAGGCAGGCAGGGAAGAGCCTAGGATTGTTTTTGCATTGCGTAAATAGCGGGATGACTGCTGCTGCTGCCTGCAAAAACGCTTCCAGCGAGAGAAGTGCCTGTCTCTCCCCTGCGAAGAGAGATTCTGATGAAGCCGTCCGCACCCTGCACATGCTCCTAACCCCTACAGCTCAGTGTGTAAAGGCAGAGCATAATCAGGTCTCTTCCTTCAGGGCTTTGGCTTCGGGACTCAGGCAAGTTCATTCCCCTGCAATTAGCACAGGGTGTCCTGGGGCTTCCTCTCACCTTCTGGAGCATCAGAGATTGAGCACAGCTGGTGAGGATATGGGGTAGATTTGTGAGACGATATGGAAAATCCCCTTATACACCTGCTCAATATAGCTTCTGTGCTGCTTCAAGGTCATATTTTTTTTCACCAGATTTAGCACTACACAGGCATCCCACCACCTCCTACCACCCAGGGCAGATTGGCAGGGCTTTCTGTGCTCTTTAGTACTGGCTGTGGATTGCCCTGACAGTCATCTTAGGCAATGTTTGTAACCATCCACAGACAATAAGTGATAACTCTTTCTTTTTTATACATTAGTGTAGGCTGCTTACACCTCAGACATGTCAGCTGACCTAAAATCATTACAAATCTCAAGACTGGATGCTCAGTGTAAGACTAATGGGTAGTCAGGCCAGCATACAGGAGGCCAAGCAGAGTAACATAACAGGTGATGCCATTTTAAATCCCTATGAGATGAGCTTTTTAAGGATGCTCTTTTGAGGTGTTCATTCATGATAAAGAAGAGTGTATTTTCATTGCTGCTAAAATATTCATTAGAGTTTAGAGATGCTGCACTGGCTGATATAAACTATTGCAGTGCTTGGCTTCAGCTGAGCTGTGCTGAGAAACAGCTGCAGAGAGTCTGAGCCCACCTGGAAAAACATTGACCAACACAAGTGTGAAGCCCTAAGTGAATTTCTACTCTGTGATAACCTAAAATAGAAGTTTAGAGCAGACTAGAGACAAAAATGCCCATCTCATGCAAAATTTTTTCAGTTGCTTTCAAAAATATTCAGTTGCTTTCCTCCCATATGGGAACGAAAATTTGAAGATTTGGTATTTTTCACAGAATATTATTTTAAAAACTTTAACAATTTTAGAATATTGTTGTTGTTGATGGTGATGATTATTAATTCTGTATTTGTCAAGCCAGTTGCCACAAGCTGTATTTCTAAGAGATAAGTTCTGGACTCCTTTGGTCTTCGGGGCTGAGCTACGACAGCTGTTCCAGGTTGTACCATAGCAGCATAGTCAGTGTAGAAGATATATTCTGAGTCCAAAGCAAAGGACAGTAAAGAAATGAGAGATGGGAAGCAGAGGAATAACTTTAAGACACAGACATTTACACCGACCTGAAGAAGAAAAATTGTTTTGCCTTCTCGCTGGAACGCACAGATGATATTAATCACAGCCTTCAGTGAGAAATGTCAGTCAGACTTTATTTCCAAGGGTGAATAGGGTTTTTTTAGAACATGTTGTCTAGTCTTAATGTTACTACATTACCCATAAAGTTCTGAATGCTGAGAATTATAAGAAACAGCCAGAGGTTTAAACTGGAAGACTGCCTCTGGAAAAGGTCAAGTAAGGAGAAGGATATAGAAAATATATATAGAAATATATATAGAAAATATATATTCTCTCTCTATATATATATAGAAAATGAATTTTATATCCTTTCAACATAGATTTTGAGTCCATAAACTAGATTCTATCTGGTACATCAGCAGATTTAAGTGTTACAGGAAAGCCCCTCATATAACAGGTTTTTTTTAAAGACAATTGTGGATTTTTTCCACTCTAACATACACCAAAAAAAATGCCTTGAAAAGGCAACATGATGACCAGGAAAAAAAACAGCCACCAAACCCCCACTTTTTTTGTGTGTGTAACATCCTGTTAATTTTTATTTCTTGCTCTGTTAAGCACAATAGGCTCCATTTGACCTTCATCCCTCAGTCCACCAGCATTTGTAAGGCTGTCAATTAGAACAAGGACAAAGACAAAAAAAAATTTAAACCAAAGAAATTTGATATGGGAATCATCCAGACACTGTTTGGAACTGCAACATACCAATTTTGCAGAAGTCCCTAATTAGAGCAGAGCTGTCTTGGAAAGAAAAGCTCCCGTCTGGAGGTCTGCCTTGCACAGTTCCAGGAAGATGTATGAGACATTTCCCACCCCACTTAGTGTCTCTGCTGCTTTCCCTGGGGCAAGGTGAAAGTAGCTGAAATTGATTTTCTGCTGGAGAGCTGTTGCTTTTAGGAATTCTCTTTTGATTTCTCATGCCTTGTGATTCCTTGGGAAGGTGCAGTTTATAATGAGGTACATTTTTTGGAGCCTACTCTGAGATGGACCCTGGGATCATGGTGCCTTTCCTTAACCTGATGCCTTCTTAAAAATACCCAATCCTCATGAAGTATTTACGTTTAATTCCAATAAAACATAGCATGCAGGAACCGGTCTGATTATTTGTAGGTGTTGTGGGTTAGGGCTGGACTGGGCACTAAACACAGACAGACACTCTCTAACCCCCTCGCCCTCCCCAAACGGGAAGAGAAAGGGAATGAGGCAGAGAGACTTACAGATTGGAAAAAAAAAGAAACTGAAAACAGCTTTGATGAATATGGAAATAATAAAAATAGTGCACTATATACATATATAGAGAAACGGTACTGAACCTGACTTCCCCCCACCAACAGCAATCCTCACTGATGCTGCAGAGCAGGTGGCACTAGGGAAGCCCCAGGCTCGTTAGCAGAGGGGAGCTGGATAAACGGAGCTGGATTCAGGAACTCAGGATTGGGATCAAAGGCAGAAGATTGGATGGAGTCCTCCCTGGACGCCAACCATTGCAGAAAAGAAGAAAGAGGAATAAGACCTATACCCTCGTGATATCTCAGTTTTATACCGAATATGACATATATGGAATGGAATACTCCTGTTGGTCACCTGTCCTGTCTATTACTCCACAAAGGTGCAACCTTTTACTTCCTTGTGACCCCTCTTACTTCTTGGCACCCCCAGCATGGCACAGAGGAGCCAGCAGTGTCCTTGGTCACTATAGGAGTAAGTATAACCAGGAGCCTTTCTGCATCCCAGTCCCAGGCAGTAACTGTAGACATCAGGTGTTATCACTGCCAGTAGCACACACTGTCTGCAAAAACATGCTACTGACTTCAGAAAGTGCAGCCTCTTAGAAGAGATGGAACTGAGAAGCATAACTCACTGAACAGAATTGGTTCTGTTTAGCTCAAACCAGAACAGCGGGCACTACTGTCATTTTATCTGAAAACTAAGCTGGATGTATGTTGTATGTATGATGTGTGTTTCTCAGAGGTGAAATTGCAGTGTGAGTGAATACATCCAACCCAGTGCTAATCTAGCTTACTTGCTACTCAGCAATATCAGCGAAGAAACAGTGAAAGGACTCCAGACACGTGCTTGGGCAGCTGGCTCACTCCAGAGTCAGACCAGGTCATCTTCAACAAGACCTGAAGTGAACTAAGCCAAGGAATGTATCTAACCATGCTGCAGTGGCCCCTTCATGAAGCAGTGTAGGCAAACCTAGAGAGAGAAAATTGTCCAGAGGGGCCTAGCTGTTCCTGTTGATTGAATGAAACTGATGCCATAGATGGGAATTTTCTTTCGCTCCATTTGTCCTCGTTTGACTTAATGTATTTGTTTGTTTACTGCTTTCAGTTGTTCCCCTCCACATTGCCCCAAAGAAGAGAAATAAATGTACACTTGAGTGTTACAGTGGAGCTGCCACAGACACTCCATGTTTTGTTTCAGACTGGAGAAATGTCTCGAAATTTGCAGATCAGAGGAAAACGTTACAGAGATCATCGTTTCTCTTCTCTGCTCAGACCTCCTGTGCAGGAAAATTTCTGAACTGAAATGAGTCTGGGACTGAAAACCCTCGGTACATAATGTTCTGCTAAATGGCTCTGGAGTGATAGCTACGAGGTGAATGAGAGACAATTTTTCACTATTTCTGCCTGTTTTCGTCTTCACAGCATCTATTTCTTTTGGCACGAGTATACATCAGAAAGCTTTTAGTGTTCTGTTGTTCTGAACTGCCTGAGAGCTAAAAATCAAGATGATCTTCCAACATCTCCTCACACCAAACTGTCTCAGAAAAATTAGGAATAAATTAGGAATAAATTAGGAATAAATCCAACCTGATGCTCAGGGCCAATCTTTTTGAACTGCATGAACTGGCTTCATAGACAAATTACCTGAGTTCAAAAACCAAATTATAGCATATTTATAGGTTACAGGACATCTGAATCTTGTGACACAAACATTTTTAAAATGCTTTCATAACTTTTATCCTTTGCAATCAGAAAAGGAAGCACACATCTTGTCATCTAAATGCACTTTAATCTCAACCATACTTGCCAGTTTACTGCAAATCAGCATAGACTCCCCTTAGAAAGAAAATAATTTCCCTTATATTCGGAAGATTTCAATCATAAACAAAACTTTTTAAACCAGAAGGTCATTTATATTGGGGATAAAACTAGCATCTTCATGCCTGTACACTCACATAATCGGTCCCCATGGTAGATTAAAGTAGTTTAGGAAGATTTTATTAATAGTTCAGTGATAGTTTTTCCACAGAGAGTTTCTGTGTATGATTTTAATGGATTAGCACGATGAGGGAAGCAGGCTTTCTGCTCTCCAACTCTGGATCCAAATTCAGCCTCTTACAGAGTGGCAGTGGTTGAAAGTTATGGTCCCCCAATTTAACCACTTTTTCACATGTTCGGTAAGTTGTGTCTATCAAAACCACG